TTGTTTAGAAGGTTGAGGCACGAAACGTTTTAATCTGGGACTCTTCAAACAATGATTTTAAATGCTAAAATAAAGTATACCACAAATGCCTGAAATGTTTTTTTTAATTGGTCAATTATTAATGAGAAGGTGCTCAAGAAATCATAACAAGGGAACTATTCAACAACACTGATCTGATATACTGAGACTTTGATACGCAGGAGATCTAGAAAATGAAAAATGTCTAAAATTGGCTGGAATTGATGCAAATAAAACTGCTACTGTGTGAATAAACTATATAGTATATTGTCCCAAATCATTAACATCTAATTATTTTCTGTAACTGAACTCTCTGTCTGCCCCTCTTAGTTTTCATGAACTATCTTCATCCCAATCATTTACCCTTTTGATTTATTTACAATACTGTTTAATCTAATCTGTATTTCACATTTTCTGTTTTAAGTTTTAAAAAAAAAACTTCAATGTCCCCTTCTGTGCTTAAATCTTTCAAAAATATTGCAAGCTCTTTTATCTGATAGTATATTGTCCCTTTTTTAAGAGACTTTACATGGAATAAATTGGAATTTCCACTTGGTATTATAGCTAAGTGCATCCATGGTGTCACATTTGTCGGTTTTTAAATGTGTAAGTCTAAATCTGTACAGGTTCACAATCATCTATTTTCATGACTAGCCTCCAAAGTTTTTTGATAGTACTAAACTTGTGAATTTAAAGCGGAATATGGTATGACTAATTTTTTATGTCTTTACAAGTTTTTTGCTGGTTTGACTGTCTCCATATGTTGGACACACCTGTCGTAAAGATGTTATTAGCTTTGAAGTAAAAGAAACTCTGGTTGTTGCTGGAGGTAACTTAATTGTTGTTTCTAGGGACACTAGGTTTGACTAAATGTGTTGTATCACTGAAGTATAAACCTAATCATATACCTTTTATTACCTTATTCGTATCTTTAAAGTTACCTAAGTGCATGCAGTTAAAGCTGTAATATCAAACATTTTTCTAGACTTTCTAATTTGATTAAATGGGGCATTTGTAAACCGATATTTTTACTTGCATAGAATGAAAATACGTCTGATTTTTAATCCATTAGCTGATTTGTGATTTAGGTAACTAATAAAACTACACTTATTTTAAAATAAAAATTTAAATTAGATCGTGATTTAAGATTATTTTCTCCAATTATGCAGACCTTTAGATATTTGAATTAAAGTGGCAATTTTGTGGCTATGTATTAAAAAAATCTATTAATATTGCTGTAAAGTTTAACAGATCACCTGTAAAATGTACAACAATTTACCTGCAAAATCTTGATGCATTAAAATGAATATTGTCTAGTCCCTGCGATTTTTCTTTGCGCCGCTTTTATAGGAAAAGTTGTGCCCATCCATTAAAATTCTTTACTATGTCTTTGCACAAACTATGCTGTTTAATCGCGGTTTTAAGTCTTAAAATCTGTTCTACAACTGATGGGCAGTCATTTCATGTGTGATGAATACATTAACAACAATTATGTGAAATTTTATATAACTCCTTTAATCATAGTAAATGTTCTAAGGCACTCTGTAGTAATGGTGCCAAAATTTGGCACAGAACCCCTCAGAAGGTGATGTGACAACACATTACCAAATGTTTTATCAAAGAGATTGGTTTTGCTGACTTTGTTAAAAGAGGAAAGAGGTAGGAGTGTTGAAGCAGCATAGTATTAAGGTTAGGGTTTTGGAAGCTAAAGGTATGACAACCAAGGGAGGAATGATTAAAATCAGGGAAGGTCAAGATGCCAATATTAGAGGAGCGCAGATATCTCAGATGGTGTGAGTAAAGTGTCAACAGCTGAATAACAAGTGAAGGGATGACCTATAATCTGATTAAATGAGGCAGATAGATAATTACAAAAACATTACAAATAAGGTGGTGCTGGAGACAAACCAATTGACTGGAATAATATGCTAGGTATAAGAGTCATATGCCAAGTGTATAACCAAAGTAATAAGTAATCCAAATCTGTAAAAACTAATAAAGGTAGAGAGATTATAACAATTTATCCAGGTGATGGTGTCAAAACAGGACAGTAAGGACAATTTTATAGATGCAGAACAGTGAGGTGGGTCACCTGTAGCGAGACATGAACCCAAGGTCACGGCTGAGGCCGTCTTCGTGGGTACAGATCTTGGCTATCAATTTCGGCTCGGTGATTCTGCATTGTTGTGTATCTCGAAGGCTACCTTGGAGGATGCTTACCTGAAGATCGGAGGCAGAATGTCCTTAACTGCTGAAGTATTCCCCGACTGGGAAGGAACATTCCTGTCCAGCGATTTGTTGCGCAGTGTCCATTCATCCGTTGTCTTAGCGGATGCATGGTCTGCATATGCTGTGCCTTGGCTGCAGCATGTGAAGTTGATAACATTGGCCGAGTCACATAAGATATTTGCTGTGTACGTGGTGGGTGATGTTCCCATGTGTGATGGTAGTATCCATGTTGATAATTTGACATGTCTTGCAGAGGTTGCTGTGGCAGGGTTGTATGGTGTTGTAGTTGATGTTGTCCTGAAGGCTGGGTAGTTTACTGCAAACAATGGTCTGTTTAAGGTTTGGCGGTTGTTTGAAGGTGAGAAGTGGAAGTGTAGGGATGATCTTTGGGAGATGCTCTTCATCATCAATGACCTGTTGAAGGCTGCAAAGAAGATGGTGTCATCTGTCCACTCCAGGGAAGTACTGGACAATGAAGGGTGCTCTATCGGTCGTAACCTGTGTCTGTCCTCTGAGGAGGTGATTGCAGTTTTTCTCTTTGGCATGTCGTAACTGGCAATGGATGAATTGAGCATTGTATCCCTTTCTTATGAGGGTGTCCTTCAAAATCTGAGTTCAGGAATAGATTTGTTCAGTTTTAGATATTTCCTGGGAGGATGGATTGAATCAGTGGCCAAGGAACATAGTTTAGTTGTGTTGGAAGACGATGGCTTCGGTCTGCCTGATATTTAGTCAGATGAAATTTCTGTTGTGCCAGTACTAGATGTTGGGTAGGCACTCTGATTTGGGACAGTTTAGGGGTAAAGAAAGGTGATTGTGGTGATTTAGAGCTAGACACGATCAACAGACTCAAGAAACATGCCCAACATATTACTTTATTTTGTTTTGTTTTGTCTTGATTGAGCATCATGTTCATTGCTCACAGGCTTTTTAAGCATATATTCATTGCTCATTATGTGTTATTTGACCCTAGGAATTTTATATGTCTCCAACATGTGTAGTTTTTCTGTACCCCCGTTTTACATCTGTAGAGATCACTTTGTCTTGTTGTGGTTTCCAGCTATTCCATAACAAGCCCCTCTTGCTGCCAAGCCTCATCTTTACAGATATTAATTTTTATTATGTAATTTAACTGCACTCAATCTAGAAATTGTATAAAGAGTATTTGTAAAAATATATTCTTTGTTCCAAGAATTTATTTTTGCATTACATATAGTGCAACTTGTGGATGACAGAACTGAAGATGATGCACTAATAAGATACTAAGTATTACCATCCTTAAGTCATGAGTTAGAAATTGTGTTTTCCCCAATCTTTCTTCCCTCCTCTTGCGAAGCTACTGACAGAGTTCTGTGGGTGGGAGCATTTTTGCACTAACTCTGTTAAATTACCATGCTTCATTTGGCTCAAAATGTAGGAAGCATTCCTGTCTAGCCTGATCGATGTCGGCTCAAAACTAACATCAATAGACTTTTTGAAAGGTAGTCATTTAAAAACTAGCATTGACTGAACTTTTATTTGCCTTTGCAAATGCAAGATTTTGAGGCCATTGATGCCAGCCAAATTGCCGGATGTCAGCTTGGAATTCAAAACCGGAACTTTGGTCTACATTCACTAATCCCAGAGGTGTTTGAGTCCTTCACTATCTTGGATGGGAATATTATCACCCAAAAAAATTATAAATAAGGTGGAACCACTCAGCAGGTGTGGCAGCATCTGTGAAGAAAAAGTCAGAGTTAACGTTTCGGATCTGGTGACCCTTCCTCAGAATTTCAGATAAACCTGTTGGACTGTAACCTAGTGTCGTGTGACTTCTGACCTCAATAATTTTAGGAACTAAGAGAATCCATTAGTATAATTGTATGGCTAGGAAGAGCTCATAACCTAATGAACCAGATTTTTTTGTATAAAATAATCTTTCACTTGCTTAAGTTCCAGTAAAATGAGATTAGTAATACACTAAGACTATAAGTGTTCACTGCCCATAGAACTTCTAATTAGATGCCTTGACACCAGTTAACCCAAAGGGGGAGAGAAAAGAAATTGGAAAGAATTATTTATCCTCTTCTCCTCCATCTTTTGCAGTCCTGCAGTCAAGAAGTCAACATGCTGAGACTTCTGCTCTGTTTTCAGAGTACGGTATTTCTGACATCATGGCGCATGTTGCATTTAGTCTTGTACCAGTGCAATTTTAGTAGTGTTTTTCAACAAATTGTCTTCTCACTTTCAAACATTTCTAAATCTTAAGTGTTCTTCAGTTAATTGACATGCAGTCTTCCCTTAGTCTGTGCCCAGAACTCCATGTTCTTGCTCATAAGGGCACTAAAAATTAATATCAATCATGTATAAATTGAATATGTATACAAGTATAAAAGTAATCTTGCAGACTTTGCACACAATTTGCAGATATCAATTCTGTTTGGCTGTCGATGAGGCAGTCCACTGAGAATGCAAAGATTAAGTGCTGCATGACTAATATTTGGAAACAGTTGCAAGTATAGATTCTCCCAGACCTAGTATGTCCATGTTTTACCTCAAGAATATGGAGCCTCATCTTCATCTAAATAATGAATCAGAATGTTTATAGTATGGTATTATTAATTTTTTTTATGTTTGAATAAAATGTTATTCAGAATTCAGTGAATTCATTTTGAATAAATGCTGACATATAGTTTATTTACCACTCAAATTCTATGTTTTTCCTGTGTGAACATTATATTTTAACTTAGTTGTGTTTCCCCTTCTCCCACTAGAGTTTTTGGAGTGTCTACAACAATATTCCTGCAGTGACCAGATTGCCCCTCCGTTGTAGTTACCACCTAATGAGAGGAGAGAGACGACCATTGTGGTAAGTAACTGGGGGTAATATCAAACCTCTAAAGGAGAGCAGAGTTCTGAACAGTGTGCATACACCTTCTCACTACTTTGAATTTGCATTTACTGGTTTCCATAGGGAAGATGAGAGTAATGCCAAAGGAGGATTGTGGAAAATGAAAATCTCAAAAGAACATACCGTGAGTATTTTTAAAAACAATAAATTATGTATGTTATTGGCCATACTTGGAAATAATATGCTTTTGTGTGTTTTAAATGTGCAAGATAGTGAAGGAATTGTGAGAAAGACTTCAGAAACTCCGATATAGTCATTAACTTCAACCACTTTCCTGATTAGATTGAATTGAATTTGTTGCATCATTATTATACCCTAGTGAATGTCAGCATTTTGACCAAAGGTGATAATTATAAAAATTAAAGTTTATGGATATCAAGTTGATCGTGCATGGAATTGTAAGCATGAAACGAAGACTAAATCTAATCTCATGATGTTAAAAATAAATTGGAGGATAAGTGGTTGGAGCATGTTATGCAGATGTATTTTAATTAAGGGACACTATAAATACATCGGAGGTGCTTCAGAGAACAAACTGGGCTTGTTTCCACCAGAGTTTAGAAGTTGTAAAGTGTGACTTGACTGAAGTATACAAGATCATGAATGGCCTTAACAAGGTGGACGTGCAAATGATTTTCCTCATGTGGGTAAGTCCAGGAGAGCACTGTTTTAAAATTGGGGGTTATCCTTTCTGGACAGAGATTAGGAGAATTTAAAGTAGATTGCATTCAGATCTTTCTGCAGTACTGGCTAAGCCAGTGGAATATAAACTAGGCAAGTCAATGCTTCCACCAGCCAAAGGGTATAACTACGTAGTGACAAGTTGTGTAGAAACTCTATATTATCAATGTAGGCATTTAAATGAAGCTCGTCTTCCCTCTTGGGTAGAGGTAAAAGATACTCTGGAGATGTTTTGAAGAAGAGCAGAGAGTTATCCTCAGTGCCATGGCTAATAATTATCCTGCAGCCAGAATCTTGAATCAGATTCAATACAGTGTGGAGCTGGAGGAACACATCAGGTCAGGCAGCATCAGAGGAGCAGGAGAGTCGACGTTTCAGGTCAAGACCCTTCGTCAGGAATCTTGAATCAGATTATCTGATTATCATCATGTTCCTGGCTGTGGCACCTTGCTGTACACAAATTGGCTGCACAGTTCCTACTTACAAATTTGTCTATATTTCAAAAGTATTCATCAACTGCAAAGAACATAAGAAAATTAGAAATAGGAGCAGGAGTAGGCCATTCAGCCTGTAAAGCCTGATCTGCCATTCAACAAGATCATGGCTGATTCATCCTAGGCCACAAGATTTGTTTCATGCAAACTCATCATAGCCCTCAACTCCTCCATTTTGAACATCTATCTACATATTTTTTAAATACATCCAATGATCTAACGTCCACAACTCTATTGGTAGCGAAAACCAGACATTCACTGCCCTCTGGGAAAAGAAATCTCTTTGCCCCTCAGTTGTAAATCAGTGTTCCCTTATCCTTTAACTGTGTCCCCTACTTCAAGATTCCCCTACTAGTGGAAACGTCTTCTCAATATCTACCATGTCAACCCCTTCAGAATCTTGTATGTTCTATTAGGATCATGCCTCGTTCTTCTAAATCTAATGAATAAGGTGAAACCTGTTTAGCCATTCTTGATAAGTCAACCCTTAAGGCATGTCTCTCCATTTTATTAATAGTCTGCCTTTTGATTCTTCATTCCAGTGCATGACCTCATATTTCATACATTGAACTCCATCTGCCAAGATTTTACCACTCATTCAACCTACCTACATCCTTTTGCAGATTCCTTATGTCCTTGTCACAACATCCCTGCCATCTATGTTTTTGTATCGACAAAATTTGGATAAATTACACTCTGCCCCCAACTTCAAGCCAATTAGTTATCTTTTCAACCTGAAAAAGATCCATTAATCCCAATTCTTTCTTCTGTGTGTTAACTGATCCATGCTAATAAGTTGCTACTAAATCTGTGAGTTCCTGTCTTGTAAGAATTCTTCAAATTGTATTTGAAAGACTTGTAAACTGTGTGGAGGACAGTGTGAATCTTCAAAAGGACATTGACAAAGAACATTGAGAGACAAGATAAGAAAGGGTGCAGTCTTAAAGGGGTTACAGGAGCAGAGGGACCTAGGTATATGTGTGCGCAGATGATCGAAGGTGACAGGACAGGTGAAAAGAGCAGTTAATAAAGTATGAGATACCAAAGTATAGAGCTGGATAAACACAGCAGGCCAAGCAGCATCAGAGGAGCAGGAAAGCTGACGTTTCGGGCCTAGACCCTTCTTCACAAAT